ATGCTCGTGGGATTCCTGCTCCCAATCAGTTGAGTGGACGCGGGGATTCGTGGCAGGTAGCCATGTCCGAGCGGGCTAGTTCTGCCGAGGCAATGCGGCTCTCTGGTGCTATCTGATGCCCGGGCTGATCGCACGCAACGAACAGAGCCGCGAATGCTCATACACCTGTCCATTGAGGCAGACATCCCTCGTTAATCCATCATGGACGCGCAGAATGGAGTCGCCAACCCACGGAAAAGAAGACGGAGAAGACGTCTTGACCGCCCTCCTATTTCGGCGCGACTACTGCTCGACGACCGCGTGAAGGGTGAGGTCGGAGTGCTGTCGGAGGATCTCTTCAATGATCTGTTCCCTGGAGCGAGAAGCAAGAGCGCTGGTATGTGGAAGGAATGTTTGGTAGTAGATGGGAGAGGTGGCTGACAAGAAGGATAGCCAATGGAGACGCCCCAGACTCGGATCGCATCCAACACGTCGCAATCACCCCGTGGCTGCCGACCTCCATCGCCGCTTCCCAGAACACTCCCTGGACCATCCTGCCGGTGCGACCAGCCGACAAGACGGAAACCGGCACAGCGCGCCCGCATTCGTCACTCCAGATCCCCACGTCGTCTCTCGCCCTGCAGTCCTTCTCCCAGCTCCTCCAAAATGTCGCCCCGAACAAGACACAGAGACGGGATACGCCCATCGAGGTGCGCATATACGATGTTGTGCCGGTCGGACTTGATACAGTATACGTCAATTTGGACACGGAAGCGCTGCGGAAGCTGGACGAAGTACATGCGAAGTTCGGCGGAGGCTTCATTGCTCAGATGAATGGCTCGTCACGAGCTCCGAAAAGCCGCTATGTGGAAGCGAACGGAACAAAAGGCAAAACGGTGGATCTCGCGGCGCAAGAGGAGGCCTGGCGACAGGCCGTACGCGAAGCCCTACAACTACCTACTGTCCTTCATACTGGCGACCTGCTTCCTTTGAAGCTTCCCGCTCATCCCATCACCCATGTCCCACCTCCGCCAGCCAAGATCAGCGCCTCTGAACCCGTGTCGCAAGGCCTCCTACTACCGAGCACGAGGATCGTCATACTACAGTCACATCGAAGCAGCTCTAAGCAGCCCGTCATCATGCCTCCGGTGAAACAGCCTCCGACGACCAACGGATTTGGCGACGATGATGAGGCTGACGACACCTCGAACGATACCTTCTATTCGGCCGCAGAGGACAACTCGCGCAACGTCTCTCCACCCGACGAGGAGTCTACAGACAACTTCGAGTCAGAGCTCTCGGAGAGCGATGCGGGAGACCTGTCCGACGAGTCCGACGACATCATATCGCTGAACGCGCCTATGCTCCCGCCTCAGTCATCCGGTGCACTTTCAATCTTTTCCTCCGCGACCCCACGACCTGGCAACTTTGGACGCCCTAATGGCATCGCAACCCCAGGGTCGGTATACTCCAATTTCACAGCTACGACAGCCCGTGGTGGTCCAGCAAATAAGAGTAAGGTCTTCAAAGCCCAGGGGCTTCTTCAGCGTGTCCCAGATGATCTTATCCACCCGAAGCCGGGAAGCGAGGATGACGAGGAAGCGCGCGTATTCGTCGACATTAACACACTGGTCAAAGTCGGTTGCTTTTCGGGCGACTGGGTTAAGCTTGGGGGCACCGAAGCCCCTTCATCACATCCGCTCTGGGGCTTGGGTGCATTCGGCGGAGTAGACGAGGAAGATAATACGAATTGGCGCCCCGTCAGGGTCTTTGGCCTGCCAGAAAACATGTCCAAGAAGGTTGCGAGATATCCAGTACAAAAGATGGCAGATACCGATCGAAGAAGTAGTTTCTCAGGCTTCTCACAACCAACCTCGTCGTTGCATGCCTATCTCTCGCCAATTCTTCTCGCAAACCTAGGCAATCCTTCTCACCTCCGCATTACTCCGCTAGCCCCCAGCCAGTCTTCTCATCTTCCTAGGAGCGCCATTCAAAAGCCACGTCTCAACAGCTCTTCTTTGCCTCCGTCTGCCAAAGAGGTCACCCTTCTGAAGGTCTCAACCCCTTTGTCGTCAGATCGTTTACTCCAACCCAGTCTGTTCGCGGCATTGAAAGATCATTTCGAGCAAAAGAGGCGCATTGTCAAAAGTGGGGATTTAATAGGCGTATCTATCGACGAATCGCTTGGTCGAGCTGTATTCCAAACTACGACAGAAGAAGACGCTGGCAACGATGAGCTTCTGGCCAAAGCCAAACCAACCACTAGCGACGACAGCACCAGTGTCAGCAGCCGCAATCCAAAGGTCGTATCCTGGTTCAAGATTGGCAACGTATCGAGTTCTACCCATGCATCTCACGACGGCGAAGAAGCCGACATATGGGGTGGTGCTGTCACAGTAGATGCTGCCAGCACCAAAATGGAGATGAACGGCAGCGAGCAGGGCAAGACTCCAGCTCCCATCAATAATGCCTGGCAATACTATCTTGGTGCCAAACGAGCCCCTGTTTCGAGCTCGCAGAAGACGATGTCACTAGACGAGCTGCCCAAGCCCTACATTTCATCACTTCGCAGACGGTTGCGAGAACTCATGTCTGTGGCTACCAGTCCGCGAGCCATCCACCTGGGCCTGCCACCTATCGCAGTCTTGATCACCTCGACTCAACGTGGCATCGGAAAGTCTACCCTTGCTACGAAAGCTTGCGAAGATCTCGGTCTGCACACTTTTGCGATTGATGCCTTCGATATCATCACCGAAGGCGGTGCTGGAGGTGGCGATGTCAAAACAGAGGGTTTTCTGAAAGCTAGGGCAGAGCGAGGCTTGACATGTGGGGCCGAGTTCACAGCATTGCTTGTCAAGCACGTCGACGCACTCAACGCCGATCGCATGAATACCGCGCTGAAAGAGATATTGGCCGACTCTCGCGTACTAATTGCAACTACAACCGAGATTGACAAGGTACCGGAAGGCATCCGAGGACTCTTCACTCACGAGATTGAGATGACAGCACCCGATGAAGGCGAACGAGAAGGTATCCTGAGAAGTATCGTCGACGACGCCGGCATCAGATTATCTCCAGAGGTCGACCTTGGAAACGTTGCTGTCAAGACTGCCGCTCTTGTGGCTGGCGACCTTGTGGATGTGGTTGATCGAGCTCTAGTCGCAAAGCAACAACGTCTCGAAGCGCTCGCCGCTTCCTCTACAAAAACACTCTCCTCATCTGAAACAATCACCACACGCGATATCGAACTAGCAGGAGGTCACTTCAGCAACAGTCTCACCAAAGCCGATCTAGACACCGCAGTAGATGCGGCACGCAAGAACTTCGCAGATGCAATTGGAGCCCCCAAGATCCCCAACGTCGGATGGTCAGATGTCGGTGGTCTCACGCACGTCAAAGACGCAGTCATGGAGACTATCCAACTTCCCTTGTCACGTCCTGAGCTCTTCGCCAAGGGCATGAAGAAGCGCAGTGGTATCTTGTTCTACGGTCCACCCGGAACAGGAAAGACGCTGCTTGCAAAGGCCATCGCTACAGAGTTCTCCCTCAACTTCTTCAGTGTCAAGGGGCCTGAGCTGCTCAACATGTACATTGGTGAGTCTGAAGCCAATGTACGTCGTGTCTTCCAACGCGCCCGCGATGCCCGTCCTTGTGTTGTTTTCTTCGACGAACTGGACTCTGTTGCACCAAAGCGTGGCAATCAAGGTGACAGCGGGGGTGTTATGGACCGTATCGTCAGTCAACTGCTCGCCGAGCTGGACGGTATGAGTGATGGAGGAGAAGGTGTTTTCGTCATTGGAGCAACTAACAGACCCGATCTACTCGACCAAGCCCTACTTCGTCCCGGTCGCTTCGACAAGATGCTGTACCTGGGTGTCTCAGATACCCATGAGAAGCAGCAGACTATCTTAGAAGCTCTGACAAGGAAGTATGTCGCATTCCTCTCCCGTTCCTCCATACCCACAGATGCTAACATGTTTTGCCAGGTTCACACTCCACCCCTCCCTCTCCCTTCAACGCGTATCCCAAGGCCTTCCCTTCACGTACACAGGAGCAGACATGTACGCCCTCTGCTCCGACGCTATGCTCAAAGCCATCACCCGCTCCGCCAAGATCGTCGACGAAAAAGTCGCTGCCCACAACGCCACTCATTCCCCTCCCATCACCATTGCCTATTTCTTCGATCATCTCGCCACAGAAGAAGACACCGCCGTCATGGTCACAGAAGAAGACTTCATGGAAGCCCACAAGGAACTCGTACCTAGTGTTAGTGCAGACGAACTCCGGCATTACGATAGGGTCAGGAAACAGTTTGAAGGCGCGGGCAAGAAGGAGGATAAGAAGGAGAATGGGGCTGCGCTGGCTGTTCAGCCGGCGACTAGTGCGAAGGGAAAGGGTAAAGCAAAAGCGCCGATCGATGAGGTTGAGGATATGGTTGTTAGGACGGAGAATTTGGAGGTTAATGGGTTTGGCAATGGGGATGCGAATGGGGCGGCTGGGGGGAGTGGCAAGGGTAAAGGCAAGGCGCCGGCGAATCATACGCCGGGGAAGAGCAGTGTTGATATCGCTGAAGGGGGCTTTGGCGATGCGACCATGGACGATGATTTGTACTCTTAGTGGCTTGTCTTGCTAATTGTAAACGATTGCCCTTGCAGGGGACGTTGTACATGTTTTTGTGCATAATTTTGCCGACTGATCCTTTTGGGTGATGCTTTGTGTGTGTTGCTGGTGGAAAGCCGGGTTTTCCTTTCGTTCAATAGATGTGTCATTAGTCCGATCAATTGTACTATATGATCGAACTGGTCGTTGATTATCCAGAGAGAAAGAGTACTGATGATTATGATCTCTCTCATTCGAGAGCATCTCTTCGTATGGGATGGTTATGTATGGTGGGAATTGTCAGTGACTTGCTGCGCACGAGGAGATAGCTTTAAGGTACATGTGGTTATTTTGAAAGGCTTTTCTAGTACAAAACTTCAGCCAACTCGTAAGATCGCCAACAAAATACTCGCTCCTCACTCTCATAGCGCGCGAAAGACAGAAGCCAAGTAAGCATTCCTCCGTACCCACATAGCGAGTTCCAACGCGTCCTCCCTCCGATGAGCCTTCTCGCGCAAGTCCCGCATGGACGTGCTAACCTCCGGCATCGTCTCCCGCAGCAGCCCCACCACCTTCTTCCAGGCATGCTCAGAAAAGAACTTGCTTACCGTTTCTGTGCCGCCTTGATAACTAAAGACGACCTTTTCCAGCCCCGTAAATCGCTGCAGATTCGCGGCGCAAATCGTCTCTTTACCCGCCACGGTCCAGGTACCGATGTCTAGCGTCTTGATAGCTTGTACGTACTGCATAGGCATAGTGGCTAGGAACACACGTAGGGTGTAGTCGCTAGCGATGTCGAACGTGTTAAGGCTGTAGGGAAGAAGGGCTGCTTCGGCGTGGATCTGCGTGCAGACGGCCAAGAGGGGAAAAGCGGGCATGTCGTGTTGGTAGGTGCAGAGCCTGTCATGGTGCGCGGCTAGGATGAGCGTGCAGTTGCCGAGCGCGTAGTGGTAGATGAGGTTTCGTAGCTCTGCTGGTAGACGGAGGAGAGGAGAGGTCAGTTGGTTCGCCGCTGTAGCTTCGGCTTTCGTGATTTGCGCCATCGTTTTAGCTGTCGGGACGGGTATGGGTATAGCGGCCGCTATTTGGGCTGAGCGGTTATGGTGGTGGCGTGGTTGTAGAAGTGGGGAAGTGCGAGAAAGCTTGGGGGTGCACGTGCTTGCTATAATAGTCAGGCAAGTGAAGGAGAAGACAACGTTCCAGATCTAGTTGGTCATACATAATGAGCGTAGGTAATGCTTGACTGAGCGAAGGTAGAACAGGATAGAAGTCTTTAATTTTGCCTTGTCTTATAGAAAGATGAGCTTGTGGTTGATCATCGATCTCAGCAAGCTTTGCTGGAATAAACACCTGTACACCATCTCATTTCAAGGCGCCCTTACTCCCTTTCCTTTCTCAGTGCTCATAAGACTGTCCGTTGCGTGTCTTTAAAAGACAATTGCTTCTTGCTCTTCGGCCTCCTCTTGACGCTCAGTCCGGAGTATCTCAGTAAAGCTCTTCTCACTGCTCAATCCGGAGTGTCTCATCAATGCTATTCTCACTGCCCAATCCGGTTCCTTAGGTATGAACTTATATGTCGATATTTTGACACCCGGTACATCCTTTCGTAGACCATCCGCCAAAATCCGCAGCCCGTCCTGATATCGGGGAACCCTTAAATGATTGTCTGAACAGCTGTGTTTCAACCTAATTTGCTCCAAGCCCTTGAACTTTGCGAGTGAGGATGCAACGCGGGGATAATGAGTGTCGATGAAGCAGAGTGGGACTTCCAGCGTTTTGATAGCTTCGATGGACGATGTAGTCATGCTAGTAACGAGGTCGTTGATCATGGTCGTCGATACAAGGTCGAACACACTGAGACTGTAAAGCAGCATCCCAGCCTCGGCGTTGATCTGGGTGCATACTTTCAATAGCCCGAATGCCAGTGCAAATTTGTCGCGATATAGTACCAGTACTTTGTCGCCGCGTAAACTCAACCTGATCCTCTGACCGCCCAGCGCGTACATCCAAATCTGATTTCGAAGTTCGCCCGGTAGGCCGAGAAGAGGAGAGTTCTGTTGATTTGCGGATGTTATCTGCGCTGTTGTTTGCGCTGTCGATATGGATTTGGACATTTGTAGTTGAGTGAGTTGAGTTGACGGGTGCTGCAATTACTGTACTCTCGTGAATGGAAGAAGTTACAAATATCGTGAGAGCGCAACAGGGTTTTGAAGTGCAGGCGATGCCAAGACATTCGAAGAAGTGAAAGAGAGCGTTTGCAAAGCCGTGCACTACGATAGCTTATCACATTAGTAGTGCTGTACCTTGATATGTATGTATATAGGTAGTGAAGAAGATAGATATTTTGACAAGACCTCGGGAAGGAGGGGCAGTTAACGATCCTTCTAATTCTGCATGAAAGTTGACTTTGGCTGATCCTCATCATCAAGTAACTTTACTAGAACACGATTCCTGAAATCTGCACCTTCGATTGTTTTCCTCGATCTCGATGCTCGAAAGCTACCCTGTCATTTGTGACAGCATCCCGAGACCCACTATTTGTCCGACCATATATGTCAACTGCCAACCGTCTCAGTAATGTCCCGTACATTTGTTTACCATGTCACCGTCCCACGTCGTAATTTTGACATCAGGGATCGTTTCCCGCAGTAGTTTCGCAAAACAACCCACACGAGATAAGTCGGAGTTCCTCGACAAAAAGGAATTTGTATTGTAGCGTATCCTGATCTCCTTCAGACTTTTGCATTGAATCAGATGAGGTGACGTGTGATCTGGATTTCTGCAGACGTCTTTGGTGTGAATGACCAGTATCTCAAGGGCTCCAAGCTGTGATGTACTCATACTGCTCAGGAAATCATTGGTGCTGCTGGCGTCTGTGGAGAAGTGGAAGATGTTGAGGCGGTATGGGAGAAGGGCGGCCTCAGCGTGGATTTGTGAGCACACTCTTAGTAGCGCGAAGCGTGGGATGGGCTCTTCTGAGCAGAGGCGTGGCTGTGTTGTTCCCAATAAGACTCTATGTCCGCCCAACGCGTATTTGTAGATCTGGTTTCGTAGCTCGGCGGGAAGACGGAGAAGGCGGGGGTTGCGTTGGTTCGCTGATATTTCCTGCGCCATTATTGAGTTGTTGAGACAGGCCTGGGTATTTGGCGCTGTAAGGTATATGGGTAGAGCGGTATCGTGGTGTAGCCTTGTAGACAGGAAAGTGAGAGAGTGTGTGGAGGTGCGGACAATGCCTAAAATAATCGTGAGAAGCGATAGAGTGTTTGCGCGGCCGTGCGCTAGGCCGCACACCCAACCTAGGTATCTGCTCGTCTTGTTCATGCTTCCTAAGGTCGCCTTCACAAGTATTTCCAATGCCGTTGGCAATAAAGAATGATTGCACGTGCTGACTTGGAGAAAAGGCTGGTAGTTGTAATGCTGAACACTTTCTGATCATCTGGAGAGATGGATAATATATGGCACATTGTTAATCTCTGAAACTTTTCCGACGTAAACATCCGCCAAACTCATCTGAGTTACTCTGCTTCGCCTGTAGTCTTTGCAGCCTATTCGTTTGACTTCGTAAAAGCAATCACCCTCCACCCTCCATACGATGGTCAAAACCCAATCCACCTTGTCTCAGTGATATTTGACACTGCTCAACCCAATGAAAGCATCCCATGTCATGACTCTAACACCAGGCTTATAGTTTCGCAGTAACGTACACAATGTCCGAAGGCAGGCATGGTTGTACTCCGTTGATTCGAGCTCTTTTCCAGCTAAGTTGATCTTGATTTCCTCTAGACCTCGGAAATAGGTAAGCTGTGACAATAAATCCGTGGGTCTGCAAAGGATTACAATGTTGTATGAAATCCTGATCACTCTGATGGCTTGGATTCCTCTTTTACTGGCGGACGCTGTGAAGGCAGGGATGGAGGTGTGTCCGAGGAAGTTGAAGGTGTTGAGACTATACGCTAGAGTTGCTGCCTCTGCGTTGACTTGAGAGCACGTCTTTAACAATGCAAAAGCAAGGGCGTCTTTCTGCTTATAAAGACGTGACTTGCGATTGCGTGTCACCGGCTCTGTATATATTCCTATCCCGAGAACATGACCGCCCAATGCGTAGTTGTAGATTTGATTCCGAAGCTCGGCCGGTAGACGGAGGAGAGGAGAGTTGCGCTGATTTGCCGCCGTGCTATCTCAATATTAGTTCATGTACTTCCTGCGCATACTGACTCTCGTAGACTGCATACATGTGAGCGCGCGCAGCGTTGGCTGCTGTCCTTCGCCCCATCTTGGCAGGTGTACTGGGAAGTTTTGTTGCTGACGTGCGGGTGGAGCTGTGTTGTGTTGTGATCTAAGTAGTTGGTAAGTGAGAGACAGCCCTGAAGAGCTTGGACCCGTAGGAGTGGAGTTGAGGCCCAAAACAGCAAGAGCAATGAGGAAGTTTGTCTGCGCAACCCGGCGCTGGGACGCTAGTACAAGTTCGATACGAACTCAAGGCAAGCTGTGCATGCCGCATGCATACCCTGATGTCATTTAAGTTATTGCACCGTTAAGAGTGGTTACATACGTGTCGCATCTTACTTCGTATATGCAACTGAGTCTGAACAGGCAAATACCTTCTTGAGGTAGTGTATACCTCCAGCTCGATAACATTGTTGTACAACCGCGAACATTTCTGGTGTGCTCAACCCAACTTATGCTTCGATTATGACAGTAACACCCGGTTTCATGCGCTTCATCGTCTCCGCCAGCATCCCAATATCCTGTTGCTCGCCGATAGCACTCAGCAGTGAAGGAACCCTCGCTTTCTCGATAACCACCGTCTGCAAGCCTTCCAGTTTCTCCAACCGTATTGACCCTCCATTGTTCCCAAAGTTCCAGAAGGAACGCTTCAGCAAACCACACCTACGAGGTTTGAGCTGAATGGTACGTATGAATTTAAGTTGGGCGGGGGAGCATCGTAAGAGAAAGTAGCGCATGGCGAGCTCGTGATCGAATGCAAAGACGCAGTAAGGGTACTGTAGCATGGCAGCTTCTTCGGAGATCTGCTTGCAGACGAGTAGTAGACCAATGGTACTTTCCAGTAGGAGGGGTCGCAGTAGGATCTCGTGAACCTGGCCGCTCAACACGTATCTAGCACAGATGAGAGGGTTAGTGTATGTTCGTAATTTTTCTGAGCGATGCAAGAGAAGGTCTATTCACTTGTAGATCTCATTTCGCATCTCGGCTGGAAGTTGCAGAAGAGGGGACTCGATAGCGTTGCGCGTAGTTATATTTGTGTTCTCTTCATGCGACGACAGAGCTGCCGAGTGCTCATCGGCTGCGCGCGTCGCGTCCGCCATCGTGGTCGATGTGTCGGTGCTAAGAGTGATGGAATTAGGAAGTTGCATTCCGAGCATGGAATCACTGGCTAGGACAGCCAGCGCTATAGGAAAGAAGAACTGAGGGTCCATTGCGCTAAGCCGTAAGTCGACTGCTCGCTCATTCACCGGGGATTCACCCAGTCTCGAATTTGGGTCGTTGAGTAGGTAACGAGGGTATTCTACCAAAACTAAACTAATTCGCCCAGTCGAACCCTCTAATTTAGACTTTGCGATTGCCAACGACCTCGGGAAGAAGGAGCCACTCAAGGCTGCCGCGATAGTGACAACGCAAACGACGCTGTAACTACCCGCAGCTGAACGTCTCAGCAACTAATATTTGCCACATCAGTCACACAAAAGCTAGCGTGCGCCTGACCATATCCTACTACTCCAGACGATGAAGCTCAAACGCCAATTCAACATCCTTGGGTGCGAATTCCAGAAGTCTAGGACCCAATCCAGCCTCTATCCGCTTGAGCGCCGCAATCTCCGACGGACGGAACGAGGACTTGGAAGAATTTCCTACCACAACAGCGATGTGAATGTACTTCAACCCCGTCAACGTATTCAAATTCTGAACACGCTTCAAGTCGAAGTCTCCAATGTCGTTCGGCCTGCTTGAATATTCCATAACCTTCACGTAAAAGAAGAGCTTGGTGATGGCTCCAGTTTGAGCTGGTGTGATGCGGTTCTTC